TCTTGTTAATTGTTTGATTAACGTTTATAGTTTTGAATCATTGCAACTTATTTTATTAGATATTTAATCTATGTGACACTCCAATTATAGGTGAAGCAAGAATTTTTCTAAAAAGTCTTGTTAACAACATTTGCTCTTAGTATTAATACCACAAATAAGAAATACCTCCAAATCGATCCTAACTTATATGGTTACCAATTAATATATCGAGCAAGTATTTATTGAGTATCTGCCACAAGTTAGGTCCCATGCTAATCCTAACACACAATTCAAATTGTAGATGTTCTTCAAAGCCTTGCTTAAACTTCTCTGTAGCTCCTTTGCAGCCCAAATCAAAAGCCCAAATCAACTTCTAGTTTCTTTCTAAGAGCTCATGGAGGAAACTGAGGTACACAGTGTGTCCATTCCAAGATGGATTACATGTTGTCTCCTTTTCTCTAGCACACTCATTTGTGAAACTATATTCTCTCTCTCTCCTTTGGTGATAGTTGGGCTTGAACTTAGGGCTTCATGCTTGCTAGGTAGGCACTCTACCACTGGAGCCACACCTCCAGCCTTTCTTCTCCAGGCCAACCTGGACAGCAACCCACACCCAGCTTTTTTCCATTCAGATGGGGTCTTGCAAACTTTTTTGCCATAGGCTGACCTGGAACTGTGATCCTCCCGATTTCAGCCTCCCATGTAGCTTGGGATGACAGGTGCATGCTACCATACCCAGGCATTGCTTGTGATGGGGTATCACAAATTTTTTCACCCAGGCTGCCTCTAATTGCTGTCCTCCTGATCTCAACCTCCCTTATAGCTGGAGTTATAGGAGTGAGCCACTGGCACCTGGCTAGAAGTATATTCTTTTAACTGGCTCTTGTGATTTTCTTGGACTCCAGAGGTGGACAATAAAGGAAGATAAAGCTTATCTGCTTCTTCTCTCCATGTGCTAAAATAGTTCTTTTGAGATAATACTACCCATGTATCGTTTAGATCAGCTAGCTCCTGAATGCTTGGCCCATGGTTGGTGCTCTGTAAATGGTAGCAACTCTACACATATTGTTGTTTCTCTGTCTTTTATCAATATTTCATTTTCATTAATTTGTGAGCTCTTGGGAAAAGTCCTTATTTCATTGTCTCATAAGGAATACTGAATTGGTTGAGTTATTTGCTTCTGGTTTTAAGATTGTTTTGAGGTTGCTGTCCTAAAGCATTTTATAAATATGTAACTTCATAACTATGTGGTACTTTTTTTGGGTGGTTCAGAGGTTTGAACTCAGGACTTCACTTGAGCCATGCCTCCAGTCCTTTTTTGCTTTAGTTATTTTTCAGGTAGTGTCTCAAGTATTTTCCTCCAGCTAGCCTCAGACCTTGATCCTCCTACCTACAGCCTCCCATGTAGTTTGGATCAGAAGCATGCATCACCACACCCAGTTTATTGATTGAGATGGGGTCTCACTAACTTTTTGCCCAGACTGACTTTAAACTGTGATCCTTCTGATCTCCACCTTCTGAGTAGCTGGTTTTATAGGTGTAGGCCACCAAGCCTGGCCTGAAATAATTTTTTTTTAAATCCACTTACAGAGGAGGAAACTGGAACACACAGAGGTCAAGTAAGTTGCTCAAGGGCATACAGAGTTGTTTACTGTAAAACCACTATTCAAATTCTGGTAGTAAGACTGGATTCTTGCTATTAATCATTATCCAGGGCTGAATGTAATGGCATATAAATATAGAGAATATGCTATTGCATTTCAAAGAAGGGAATGATCATGTTAGTGTCTGATTAGGGGTCCCAATGAAGGCTTCATGCAGGAGTTGGGGACTGCCAGTTTTTCAGGTGCTTGGATTTTGGAGAAGAAAAGTGATGCTAAATAATAACAAGGGCTCAGATATAAGAAATGACATGGCGTCAAGAAGTATAGAGCTACAGTTAGGAAGGGAAGCAAGACACCAAAGCTGATTTGGGTTTAGAGTGTAGGAAGCTTGTGATTATGAATGGTGGACCAAGTGGAGAAAATGTGACATACCAGAGCTGTGCTTGGATGAGTGTGGAAACATTCTGTGGAATGAATCAGAACTGATCAAGACCATAAGACTAAGATATTAAGGTTGTCTCTAGAAAAGAAGTAATTAGATCTAGAACTATGATGAAGATGTGGATAAATATAAGAGATACTATAGAATTTGAATTGATAGGGTGAAGAAATAGCACAGTTAAAATGGATAGTCAAGTATTTATATCATCATGTGACTAGCATCAGTTTATTTTATGGTCTGTAAGGTCCTTGAGTATCTGAGAAAGTCTTCTTATAAATGATCATTATTTTAAAGAGAAAAAAAAATAATGTTTATTCATCTCTAAAGGAATATAAAGTATGTTTACCTCATTGGACTTGAAGTTGACATCCAGGAAGTGATTTCCTTTAGGGCCACCTAATTTATTCAAAATTTCTTAATTGAAAATGTTAGTCTGCTCTGTAGACAAAATTAGAAACCACTTTTGCTTAGTGATTTGGAAGAAGTGGATATAATATTTCTTTACAATTCTTATATGTCATCATCTCTGTTTCTTTAATATGATACAAATGTAAATTGTAAATTAGTCTTTCAGTTGACTTTGCTAAGCAGAAATCTTCTAGCTGACTCAAACTGTTTGCAGCAGTATTTGAAAGTAGCCTTTGGGACTGGAGGCATGGTTCAAGGAGCATCTGCCTAACAAGCCTGAAGTGCTGAGTTGAAACTCCAGAAATGTCAAAAAAAAAAAAAAGAGTAACCTTTCAAAAACCTTGATATAAGCAGTTTGGATTAGTGGGGTTGATAAAAGTCAGTTTGTGAGTTGTATTTAATTATTGTTTGAATGTCTCTAGTGATAAAATAATACTAAAATATTAACTTTCCAAAAGTTATCATTAGTGTATAATAGAGAAGCCAGGAGATGATGATGACTTAGAGTTGTATTGATACAATACCTAGCAATAAATTTAGCCAAGGTGGTAAAAGACTTATATTCTGAGCACTATAAAACATTGCTGAAAGAAATTAAAAACTACCTATATAAATGGAAATTCTGTGTTCATAGATTAGAAGAGTTAATACTGATAAGATTAAGTGATCTACAGCTTCAATTTAATGTCAATAACCCTTTTTTGAAGAAATGGAAAAGCCAATACTCAAGGAATTATAAGGGGCCCTAAATAACCTTTCAGGAATATTCTTGTAAAAGAAGAAGAAAATTGGAGGATTAACACTTCCCAGTTTTAAAACTTACCACAAGGCTACAGCAATCAAAACCATGGTATGGAATAAAATTTAGAATTCAGAAATAAACCCATACATTATAGCCAATTGATTTCAGCAACCTTACTGTGACCATTTAATTGCAAAAGAATAGTCTCTTCAACTAGCAATTCTAGAACAACTGGATTTCCATGTGTAAAAGAATGAAGTTGTACCTCTTACCTCACACTATATGTAAAAATTAACTCAAAATGCATCAGCAAGTTAAATATAAGAGCTAGATCCATAAAGCTGTGAGAAAAAACATAGTGATAATTCATGACCTTGGATTTAGCATTGGATTCTTAGATGCACCACCAAAAGCATTAGCAATAATGAAAAAAATAGATAAATGTAAAATATTTCAGCTACTATGAAAAAATTTGACAACTTCTCAGAAAGTTAAACAGAATTACTATATGACCCTGTAGTCTACTCTCAATGTATATACCTAAACAAATTAAAAATAAAGAGCTGGGGTGTGTGGCTCAGTGGTACAGTGTCTGCCTAGCATACATGAGGGCCTGAGTCTGATCCCAGGCACTGTAAATAAATAAATATATAAATAAATAGAAAAGGAACAGGTACTCAAACAAATACTCATACACATATATTCACAGCATCACTATTAACCATAGTCAAAAGAAACTAGGTCTCAAAAGTCATCAGTGAACAAATGGATACATTTTGGTATATAAAATATAATGGAATATTTTTCAATCATAAAAACTAATGAGTTACTGACACATGCTATTATATGTATGAGTCTTCAAAACTTTATGTTAAGTGAATGTAGCCAGACACACTGATCACATATAGTATAGTTCCAGTTATAGGAAATACTCAGAATAGATAAATGCATTGAAACAATGCAGATTGGTGATAAGAAGAAGGAACTGGCACTTTGGTACTGCTGTTTATTTTATAGGAGGAAAAGGGGAGTAAAACAGAGTAAGTTTCAGATTAGCTATTCAAAGAATTTGAAACCATTTTATAAAATTAGATCAGTAAGTTAGATGGAATGATATAAAGGAAAATGGAAAATAAAAATGAACAAATATCTTTAACTTATTTAAGCCACAGATTATAGTCTAACGTAAAGACAGTTCAGATTTATTTACCAGGCATACAAGTGTCCATGAGCCTTTTTGAGTTATATTCAGAAATACTATCTTAAATCTTCTATAAGAACAGAACAGAATATTAGTAACTGATTTCATTAAAGATCTCAAACATAAGCTGGTAAAATTAAGAAAATGCATTTCATAGATTTGTAAAGGAACTTTTGATGTTGGAAAAAAAGCAGATGCTCTCAAACATGGAAAATTCTTTTGTAGTTAGAATTGAAGGTACTACAATTTAGGTAGCCTAATTTTTGTTACTTGAGATAATGTAAGAATAAGAAGACAAAAAATGATGCAGAATATATGCATGGGTTATATTACAAATCACATAAACTTTGGAGCAAAATTTTGTATGTGCCAATTTTCTTTTTTCTAATGGTGACTGTAATTTTTCAATATTCTATTGATTTTGTCCTTGAAAAAATGGAGTTGTACCATATCAGAAAAAAAAATGCTCATTCTTGTTTGTTTGTTTGTTTGTTTTGAATGATACTGGGGTTTGAACTCAGGGCCTTGTGCTTGCCAAGCAGCCACTTTCCCTCTTGAGCAATACCCCCAGTCTAAAATGCCCACTCTTGGCAGAATATGGTTAACCTTCCTCTTTAATTGCAGATGATGAAAGCCATGAACAAGTCCAATGAGCATGTCCTAGCAGGTGGTGCCTGCTTCAATGAAAAGGCAGACTCTCACCTTGTATGTGTACAGAATGATGATGGAAACTATCAGACCCAGGCAATCAGTATTCACAATCAGCCCAGGAGAGGTAAGCATTTGAGCTGGTTGAGATTTTTGTTAACATTGGATATCTCAGCCCCATAACACTTTCTAGTTAGGTGACCACAAATTAAACTTTCCAAACATATTCTTTGGGATTATGTTGACTTCCCAACTAGCTATCTAATTATTTTGAGCCTTCACAGTTACAAAAGGGATCTTCATGATTGAGGAAAACATTTAAAAAGGACTGTCTCAGGATATTGATAGAGCCAGCATTGATATTTGAAGGTGAGACTAGACTTTTAGTGAGAATATGCTAAGTTAGATTCGGAGCTTGTTGGATGACCATACCCAAAGAATGTGAAGAGGTTGACCTATCTGATTCTGAAGGAAGACATCTAGGTTCTGTGCTATTCCACATGTATAGTCTAATCACTCAGGAGATTGTTAGAAATGAAAAATCTAATCAGAAAAATATGCTAACCAGAATTTTTTAAAAGATCTCTGAGTGATTCAAATGCACATTAGAATTTGAGAAGCCTTGCTCAGGTGGCATTACCCAAAATGTTTTTCTCAGCTACTGTGGTTTGAAAAAAAAAAGTTCACATAAACAATTTAAAGTTTTGCTTAAAAAACTTAATCTGAGAAACCATGTATTCACCAAGTTTAAACAGTTGTTTGCCACAGGGCTTTTCAGACCTTTTGAGAAGTTGATGAGTGTTCTGATTTTTCAAGAGGAAAATAGTGTCTGGCTCTTCCCAAATTTATTTGACCATAAATCTTTTTTTTCTTCAGAGTATCTCCTAAAACTGTTTCTTTAGTATGTTTTGTGAAACACTTCTCTAGTAGGCATACCATAGGCCACTGTCTTCAATATATTTTTAAATGAATTGTTCAGTAAAGGCATAAAATGTATCTAGTACATGTATATTCAAATACAGTATCCAAAATAAAGTAGGTGATAAGTTCACAATGCTCTATATTGGTCAAATCATAACTAGAATATTTATATAAGTTCTGGATATCATTAATGTTAAGTATATTGCTAAAACTATATGGCATCCAGAGAATGATTGAAGACCTTTGAGAAATCGAAACCTAAGTCAAAGAAAGATTTCTTAAATGAGGTATACATGTTTAACCTGGAAATGAATACATTGGAAGATGATGGAGAATAACAACATCTATTTTCAGAATATGGAAATAAGATTCTCTAATAGTTACAGAAGACTAGACTCGAGATGGTAGAGCATTTGCCTAGCATGTATATGGGCCTGGGTTCAGTACCTAGCACTGGGGTGGAAAAGGGGGAACCAGACCAGAACCAATGGATGAAAGTTATGGGGAGCCAGATTTGGGCTTGATTTAAGAGTATATTATGTAACCTTAAAAGTTGTCCAGAAGTAGGATGGGGTGCTTTGTGCTGTTGTGGGCCCTTTGTCATTGGGAGTGTTCAAAAAATTCTGGATAACCAATTAGAGATCTTGTAGGGCTAGTTGATAGGAAATTGGATTAGTTCAGTCTAGTTTAAGGAGTGGCAAAATAAGTGATGTTTTCATAAAGCTAAATATAATTACATATAATACCTTTTATAAAGAAATAGTGGAGCTAGGCGCCAGTGGCTCACACCTGTAATCCTAGCTAGTCAGGAGGCAGAGATCAGGAGGATTGCAGTTCAAAACCAGCCTGGGCAAATAGTTCAGGAGACCCTACCTTGGAAAAAAAAAAATCACAAAAAAGGGCTAGTGGAGTGGCTCAAGGTATAGCCCTGAGTTCAAGCCCTAGTACCACAAAAAAAAAAAAAAAAAAAAAAAGAAAGAAAGAAAGAAAAAGAAATAGTGGTATTAGAAATTTGTCTTTTAAATAGATTTTTTAAAAAATAATAATACTTGGCAGAAAAAAAAGTTGGTTATTATATCTCCATCTTCAATATGTATTTGTTCTTAAAAGAACTGGAAATCAGAGGATTAGACAGGGGCCACAAGTTTTTCTGTGAAGGGCCAAATGATAAATATTTTAGGCGTTATAGCCTGCAGTCTTTGTCATAAGCTACTCAAGTCTAGTGTTGTAGTGCAGTAACTGTCTTAGATAATATGTGATGAATGAGTATGGCTGTGTTCAAATGAAATTTATTTATAAAAAATAGGCTACAAGCCAAGCAGGGTAGAGTTTGATGGCCCCAGGACTAGACCATCAAGATTTTTTTGCTTCTAAGATTCTTTGATTTTTAATTACAGGAAGAACAAAACAGAATGGAGAAGTATATCTTAAAGCTTCTTTCCCAAATATCATAAGTATCAGAATTATTGGTTAATTGTATATTGTAATTGTATGGATTCCGTGTTTTTTATTTTCTATATGTTTGTAATACCCATTTACCAAATTTCATTATTGTTCCCAATTCCTCCATTCTCAGGTTCTGTCATCACTAAACTATTTCTACTGCTCTTTTAGTGACTGGTGCCAGTTTCTTTGTGTTCAGTGGTGCTCTGAAATCATCTTCAGGATACCTTGCCAAGTCCAGTATTGTGGAAGGTAAAGGATGAATTGTTTACTCTATGTGTGTTAGTTCTGTCCTAGTTATACAACTAAAAAGCATGGGACATTAAGAGAAGCCTTCATACTTTAGCAGTAGATGTCTGACCCCTGTTATTTATTCAGTGACATGTTACTCTTCAGCATATTAAAACTGTCATGGGAGCCAGCCTTGGTGGTTCTGATCTCTAATCCAGGCTATTTGGGAGGCTGAGGCAGGAGAATCACATTAACCCAAGAGTTCAAGACCACCTTGAGCAACATTGCTCAAGAGCCCATCTCAAAAACAAACAAAAGCCAGGCACCAGTGGCTCATTCCTATAATCCTACTTGGGAGTCTGAGATTGGGAAGATCGTGGTTCAAGGCCAGTCCAGGCAAATAGTTCATGAGACCGCATCTCCAAAATAACCAGGATAAAGTGAACTGGCAGTGTGGCTCAAATGGTATAGTACCTGCTTTGCAAGTGTGAATCCCTGAGTTGGAACCCCAGTACCATCAGAAAAAAAAAAAAAAAGCCCAAACAAAAAACAAAGAAATAGACATAGAGTGCTAAATTCTCCAAAGAAGGAAATACAGATATTATGGAATAGTGGTCCAAAAATTAAGAGATAACCTTTCATAGCTTTGGAATAAGGTACCTGAGGGGACATAGTGTGAGTTCAAATATATTATTGGATACAAATGATGAAATTCACTCTCTTCTACCCACAAGAATGCTGTGATTGCAGGGTACTATGGCTCACGCCTTTAATCCTAGCTACTCAGGAGGCAGAAATCAGGAGGATCATGGTTTTAAGCCAGCCCTGGGCAAATAGTTCATGAGATGTATCTTGAAAAGACCCATCACAAAACATGGCTGGCAGAGTGGTTCAAGCCATAAGAGCACCTGCCTAGCAAGCGTGAGTCCCTGAGTTCAAACCCGAGTACTGCCAAAAAAAAAAAAAAAAAAAAAAGCTGTGATTATCATTTGAAGTACCGAATGAAATGTGCTTATTACAGTGTTATTTTAATTAGACATGAAACATATTCTAATAGATGTTAATTAGGGTAAGTGAAAGACTAATCAACATATCATGTATTTTCTTTGTTGGTTGTTATTTTTTGTATTTTCATGTTTTATTTTTTGGTGGTACTGGGTTTGAACTCTTGCCAGGCAGGTGCTTTCCTGCTTTAGCCACTCCTCCAGCCCATTTTTTCTTGGTTACTTTGGAGAAAGGGGCCAGGCTAGTCTGTACCATGATCTGTCTATTTTATACATCCCACTGTCACCCAGTTTTTTCCCATTGAGATGAGCTCTCACAAATTTTTTCACCTGGATTGGCCTGGAACTGCAATCCTGATTTCAGCCTCCTATGTAGCTTGGGATGACAGGCATGTGCCACCCAAATCAGCTATTGGTTGACATGGAGTCCCATGAGCTTTTTTCCGAGACTGGCCTCAAACCTCAATCCTCCCTATCTCAGCCTTCCTAGTTGCTAGGATTATAGGTGTGAGCCACAGCCACCCACCTATTGTTTTATTTTTTTCTTTGAGACAGGGTCTCTCTCTAGCCCAGGCTGGCCTTGAACTCATTATGTAGCCCAGGTTGACCATGAACTTGTGATCCTCCTGCCCTGGCCTCCTGAGTGCTGAGATTATACTTGTGTACCACCACACTTGGCTAATGATCTGATTATTTATGTTGCATTATAAATTACCCCAAAATTTGATGGCTTCAAACCACTGTTTTATCATGTTTGCTCATTTTTCTGGATGAGGAATCTCAACAGGGCAATGCAGAGATAGCTAGTTTGATGCTGCTCCTGGATCTATGGGGGTCTTAGTAGGGATGACTTGAAGGTAGGGGTTATTTGATGGCACCAAGATAGATTATCTGAAGGTTTGTTCACATTCATGTCTGGATCTGACCTGGGATGATTTAAAGACTGAGGATGATTACTGGAGTACTTACACATAGACTGCTTAACATGGTCTGGCAGCCTTAGAATGGCTGAACTTTATTTGGTGACTCTGGGATTCCAACCACAAACATTCCAGTTTGTGGAAGCTGTATTGCCTTTGTGACCTAGCCTCAAAAGTCACATAGTGTCACTTCTACCAAATTCTAGTGTTGTCAAAAAGGAGAGGAATTAGACTTCTTAATAGGGGATGGGAAGCTATCGTTCTAGAAAAGCATGTGAGACAAGAGATACATTCTCTTGAATGTATTGACCGCATAATGACAGTTTTTACTTCCATGAAAGATCACTCCAAAGCCCTGTCTAAAAGCAGTCCTTTATGAGGGCTGAATTCCAGTAAGTTAATTGAAATACATAAATAATCTTACATATATTTATAGGTATTGGCTTTTGATTTTTTATTGGTAAATTTAATAAAACAGTAAAGCACAGTTGTACTAATGTTTTATAATTAAACTTTACAACACTGACTATAAAGTAAAAGCATGTTATTAAGAAGTTTTTAAGTAGCTGGACATGTTGGTATTTGCCAGTAGTCACAGCTACTTAGGAAGCTAAACAAGAGAGTCAGTGAGCCCACAAGTTCAAAGCCAGTTAGAGGAACATAGCAAGACCTTGTCTCAAAAAAAAAAAATTGTTAAGTCTAGGAGTTAAACAGTTTCATTCAATCTAAAGTGACTAATATCTGTATGATCAAGTGTAAAATATTGTTGAATTGTGTCTTTGTAAGCAGGGTAAAAAATACCCTTTAAGTGTAGTTAAAACGATCAATTAAATTGACACAGATTCTTACAAATACAAAGCAGTGTGTTTAAAAATAGTGTGTTTATGTCTTCAAGCTAGGAGTTTCTTGGGTCTTGTACTTCACTGTGTGTTTCAACACAGCAGTTGGCTATTTGGAAAAGTTTTATTGAGGCTCTTTAGAAATTATTTTAGCTGACAAAACTGTGTATCAGTGAGGCAGGGTAATGACTCAATATGTGACAACTTTTAACCTCAGTTTCAGTGTTCACCTTTGACTCAGGTAGGTAGCAACTGAAAAACAGAAACATGTTGGCTATGGTTACCTTATTACTAGTCAATTAATGGATTTATTCTCAAACTGACTATTGTAGTTTATTCAGCATTTATTTAACAAACATTTACAAGGCATTCACTCTATGTCAAAACAATCATAGTAAAGTGAGAAACATGGAAGTGCAAACCAGTAAGTATGATCAGAGCTTGGTAAATGCAAGAGGAAAAACAGGATCAAAATGCTCTGGGAATCGAGAAGAGCAGCATGACCAGGCATAAGTTTTCCCTTTGAGTACATTCTCAGGAGAAACTCTTAATGAGGTCTGAAGTGAAATCAACAGGGGAGTGTTTTAAGCAGAGCTCAACTTGGCATTTGCTCTCAGCCCTTCAGTGAATAAAAGATTCAGCCAAAGAACACCTTTTTGTGTCTGTCAGTTTTGGAGAGCAGAGCAAAGTTTTATGTATAATACCAGAGGAATTTACTAGATGCTAGGTACTGCATCTCATCTGCACCCCTCCCTTGCTTTGCATTGATCCCATCTGTATTATCTTGGTGCTGGTTCTTAGATGGCGTTATGGTCCAGATCACTGCAGAGAACATGGATTCCTTGAGGCAGGCGCTTCGAGAAATGAAGGACTTCACCATCACCTGTGGGAAGGCAGATACAGAGGATCCCCAGGAGCATATCCACATTCAGTGGGTGGATGACGACAAGAATGTTAACAAGGGGTAAATGCATCCAACTTCCTCCCTGTGGCACTTAGTTAGGAGATAGGCTCTGGGCTTTGTCTACTGTCCAGACTGGTAGCCTACCTAAGAAAAAGTAATGTTTAACAGAATTTTACATATCTGATTTCTTTGCTTAATTTCTAAAGCAGCTTCTGTATATATTTTTAAGGGAAGGTTGATGAAACAAAAGTATTTCTAAAGTTACTGAGATAATAGAAATACCTAAGCCTTTTATGATTTACAAATATTTTACTAATGCTGTTTAATTTGATATAGTAGTTGTTATTATTCCCATTTTACAGATGGGTAAACATGTACCAAAAGGCTAAAGACTTGTCAGGCCCACAAAACTAGTATATAAAACCATGTCCCTTGGCTTCAAATTCTATACTCTTTCCTAGCGTACGGCAACTCCATTCTAATGGTTCAGCTAAAACCTTGGAATCTTTTTTGATACATTTCTTTCTCTTATATCCCAAGCTTATCCAGCAGTAAATTTGTTTGCTGTACTTCAAAATATATCCAGGACCATACTCGTTTTCACTACCTATACTATTACCATCCTAATTAAAGCCACTATCTTACTTGATCTAGATTATTGTGGTAGTCTCTTATTGGGTTGTTTTTTTTTCTCTTTCTAGACTTTGTCTTCTGATCCCCCTCAACCTATTCTTTCCAATACAACAGCCAGAATAATGTCACTTTTCTTCTCAAACTTACCAGTGGCTTCCAGTATTATTCAGGGTAAAAGCCAAAATCACTTACCACCTCGAAGGCCCTACACAATCTGTGCATCCCTCTTCCCAAGTTGCTTTCAGAAGCAACTTGATCAAACAGTTCTCTGCCTCAGACCTTTGCACTTGCTTCTGTGTCAGTTTCTCCTCTTCTCCTAAATAGCCACATGAACCACTCCCTCAGGTCCTTCAGATCTTTACTGAAATGCCACTTTCTCAGTAAGGCTTCCCTTTGTCTGCTTATTTATATTTTAACCTTCTCATATACATTTCTTTCTTCTACTCCCAATATTTCTTATCTCCCTTCCCTGAATTACATACCTCTAGTATACAGTGTACTTTTACTTACTCATTTGAATATTTTTCCCTGGGAATGCAAGCTCAACAAGGGGAGATTTTTGTCTGGTTTATTTACTGCTCCATCACCAGCACCTAAAACACCATGGTACCTAGTAGGTGTTAAAAAATTGATTGAATTGGTATATTATATTCATTGTATTAGCCTTTCTTCCATTCTTTAATTTAACAATCTATCCATCCTTCGGGCTATATCAAATTTCTAAAAATTTTTTTTAAATGAATTCTAGAATCTGGGGATGTAGTGGTAGAGTGTGTGCTTAGCATTTATGAGGCCCTTATTTTAATCTACAGCACTTCAAAAAAAAGGCAAAATGATTTTCACATGGTGCCTACAGACAAATGGTTTTAAAGATAGTTACAATTAAACAAGTGCACAAAATGTGGAAAATGTTGACAGATAACTGTACAGGATATAAAGATTTGAAAAGAAGAAAGTTGGTATCCAAGAAAGACTCCATCATAGAGAAATAGTTGGCACATGAGCTGAATCTTGCTGAAATGAGTAGGTGTTTGCCACATAGCTGTGGCAAAAGGGGTATTTCAGGCTGAGGAATAGCAAGAGTAAAGACAAACAGAGGACGTGTAGAACATGGTTTTCCAAAGTACTGAGTTCAGTTCAGGGCAGCCTCCCTGTTCTGTTAATTAAACTTTGGAACATTGAAATTGACTGGGGGAGATGATTGGATAGAGGTATCACTCTATTAATTTACTTCCTAGCTTACAGTGTGGATATAAACAAAAAAGAATGACAGATTTTAAAAAAAAAACCTTTCTAAAAGCAACAAAACAATTTCTTTTCTTGGGAGGGTGGGGGCAATACTAGGGTTGAACTCAGGGCTTTACTCAAGCAAGCACTTTACTGCTTGAGCCACACCTCCAGCCCCCCAGCAATTTCTTTTTATAAATTAGCATATAGTAATTGTACAAAGGAATTTCACTGAAAGATTTCTATACATGCATATAATATACTTTGATCACATTCACCTCCATTATTGTTCTTTCTTATTCCCCCCTTTTATACAATTTTAATGGTTTCATTATTCTATTTTCATACATGAAAATAATGTACTTCAATCACCCTCTGTTACTCTCTCTTTTCACTCATCCCCCTCATTCTGAGTCCATGCCCCAAACAGTCCTCTTTTTATAGTCATGTAGTTTCTTTTTTTAGATCTAAATTCCACATCGTGAGAAAGCATGTGATATTTATCTTTCTGAGTCTGGATTATTTTGCCTAACAGGATTGTCTCCAGTTCCACCAATTTTCTGGCAAATTATGTAATTTCATTGCATTTTATGGGCAAGTAACAGTCCATTGTGTATATATATAATCACATTTTCTTTACCCATTCATTGGTTGATGGGCATCTAGGCTGATTCCAGAGGTTGTCTATTGCAAAGAGTGCTGCAGTAAACATGAACGTGCAAGTATTTCTATTGTGTGCTGATTACATTGTTTTGGATATTTGCCCAGGAGTTTTATAGCAAGATAATATAGTAGATCTATTTTTAGTTTTTGAGGAAACTTCATACCGTTTTCCTAGTAGCTACATTAATTTACATTCCCATCAACAGAGTATAAGGGTTCCTTTCTCCCTACATCCTCAAAAGCATTTGTTGTTGTTTTCTTGATGATTGCTATTCTTACTGGATTGAGGTGGAATCTCAATGTCATTTTGATTTGCATATCCTTATTGGCTAAGGTTGTTGAACATTTCTTCACATATTTATTAGCCATTTAAGCTTCTGTTTTGGAAAACTGTTTAATTCATTTGCCTATTTATTAATTGGATTGTTTGTTCTTTTAGTGTTTAATTTTATGACCTCTTTATATATCTGTTATTAACCTCATTCAGTTAATATCTGGCAAAGATTTTCTCCCATTCTGTAGGCTTTCTCTTCATTCTAGTAATTGATTCTTTTGCTGTGCAGCTTTTTAATTTGATACAATTTCATTGTCAATTCTTGCTCTTATTTCCTTAAGCTATTGGAGTCCTATTCAGAAAGTCATAGCCTACGCCTGTATTTCAAGTTTTTCCCCTATGTTATCCTATAATAGTTTCAAAGTTTCAGGTTTTACATTAAGATCTTTGATCCATTTTGAATTAACTTTTTGTACAGAAAGATAGAATGAAAGATAGGGATCAAAATTGAGTCTTCTACATGTGAATATCCAATTTTCCCAACACCATTTTCTTTTTTTCCAACACCATTTCCTAAATGTTGGTTATCAGGTCTAAGAGTTTTTTGGTGGGGTCTTTAGGGTCCTTTAAATATTGGATCATATTTTTCTCCAATGTATGCTTTTTGTGTTTTTGTCCAGAATCAGATGATTATAATGGTATGGGCTTATTTCTGGATCTTCTATTCTATTTCATTGATCTACATATCTGTTTCTGTGCCAATACCATATTGTTTTTGTTAATGTGACTTTGTAGTATAATTTGAAGTCAGATATTGTGATAAATCTCTAGCATTCCTCTTTTTGCTCAGGATTGCTTGATTATTCAGGATCTTTATGCTCACATGTGAATTTTAGATTGATTTTTCTATTTCTGTGAAAAATGACATTGGAATTTTGATGGAGATTGCATTGAATCTGTAGATTACTTTGAATAGTATAGCCATTTTCACAATATTAATTCTGTCCATCTTTGAAGAGAGTTCTTTCCATCTTCAAATGTCTCCTTCAATTTCTTTCTTCAGGGTTTTACAGTTTTCAATGTAGAGGTCTTTCACATCCTTAGTTAAGTTTATACCTGGCTATTCTTTTGACAATATTATGAATGGGATTGTTTTCCTGATTTCTTTCTCAAACTTTTCATTATTAATATATAGAAAAGCTACTGGGTTGTTTTCTGTTGTTCTTGTTTTTGGGTTTTTTTTGATGTGTTGACTTTGTATCTTGCTGCTTTACTGAAAATGTTTATCAGATTTAAGAGTTGGTTTGGGGGGTGTTGCTTTTGTTTTGTTTTTGTAGTACTAGGGTTTGAACTTACAAGCATGTATTCTACCACTTGAGTAACACCTCTAGTTTTTTGGTGGAGTCTTTAGGGTCTTTTAAATATATCATATCATCTGCAAATAGAGATAATTTGATTTCCTCTTTTCTATTTGTATCCTTTTATTTTCTTTCTTTTGCCTTATTGCTCTGGCTAAGAATTCAAGCATTACATTGAATAAGAGTGGAATAAAATCATTCCTAATTTTAGAGGAAATTCTTTCCTTTAGTAATGAAATACTTAGTTTCATTAGTATGTTCATTAGTAACATTTAGTACAATGTTAGTTATACATTTGTTTTGTATATTTTTTAGTAAATTGAGGTATGTTCCTTCTATTCTAATTTGTTCAGGGCTTTTATCATGAATGGATGTTGAATTTTATCAGAGGCTCTTTTTGTATCTGTCAGGATGATCTTGTGATATTTATCCTTAATTTTATTTATATACTGGATTACATTTCTTGATTTGTGTATGTTGAATCATCCTTGCATCCCTGGAATGAAACCAACTTAACCATATGTATCTTTTTTTCTTTGTTTGTTTTTTGTTTTGTAGTACTGGGACTTGAAATCAGGGCCTTTACTTGCAAACCACTGGCAGTGTCTCAGTCCTATTATATTTAGGTTTGTTTTTCACATAAGGTCTAATAAAAGCTTTTCTTGGCCTGGGTGGTTGAACTGCGGTCTCCTACCTCTGACCTGCGTAAGAGGCCAGGACCACAGATGTTGTCTTCCTACCTGGCTTGCTGTTTAAGACCAGTGTCTCACTAAATTTCTTGCCCAGGCTGCTTCAAATTGTGATCAAACCTGTCTCAGGAGGATCCAAGAGTAGCTGGGATAAAAGCAGGTGTGCCAATCCTGGCTGTGCATGAATTTTTTAAATCCTGTTGTTGAATTTTGGTTTGCAAGTATTTTATGAGAATTTTGCCAGCATATTGTCATCAAACGAAATTGTACAAAGTTTTTCTTATTTTGTTGTTTCCTTAACCAGTTTTGATGTCAGGGTAATTTGTTCTTCATAGAATGAATTTGGTATTTGTTCCTTCACTTTTGGTTTTCCCCACTTTGGTGGGACAAGGGCTCATGCTTGCAAAAGCAGACACCTTGTACCACTTTTGAGCCACACCTCCATCTGTTTTTCTCTGATATTTTTGGAGATGGGGGGGTCTCACATATTTGCCAGGCTGACCTACTAACCACAATTCTCTCAAATTGAGCCTCCCAAGTCATGCGCTAGGTGTATATGTTATAGCCTTTTGGCAACGTGGTTTCCCTTTCTATTAATTTTAGGAAATAGTTTTTAAGGA